CACCCATCTGCATCCCTCTGGTGTTTCACACCCCGCTGCAGGGTTTGCACTTGTGGCCCGGACGCTACGTGTGCTGACAGGGCCAGGCTGCCCTCGTGGGGAACGAGACTAGGGTCTCCTGGCTGAGGCGAGTCCCCCACATCCCTCTATCATCCAGGCATGATGTAGGAGCTGAGGCGCGTGGGCTCCGCGTCCAGGGGTGACCCAGCTGGATTCTGCTCTTGCAGAAGGCCGCCTTTGTTGAGTGTGATTGTGTTGTATCTCAATTGTGTTGTATCCTTCCTTCCTTTTCATTGTGTTACTTTAGTATCACTTTGAACTCATAGGATATTCTGTTCCAGAAGGTGCATCATGAGAAACTATCACAAGTACACAGAAGTAGAGAGAAGGCTGTCCCCGATCTCCTGTCCCACCTCCTGCTTTCCGGGGCTGCCATTTATCCCTCCTTTTCCTCACGCTTCCCGTGGGCTCCGTGGTCCTTTGGGAGGAGTGTGCGGACGGCACCGTGTTCTTCTGATGTGTCCCGTCGTTCTCGAGCACCTCCTGCCCTGCACGGAGCGTTCTGGCTTCTCTAGTGCCTTCTGTGCTTGGCTTGGAGCTGCTCTCTGTCCCACCTGTGGCTCCTGAGGCAGCAAAGTGCTTGCTCCCAGCCCTGTGGCCTTAGGTCGCGTGATGGGCGCTCCATGCCTCAGCTCCCTTGCCTGGCAAGGATCAGGTAGTGCCCGTGTCCTGGCGCTGTCAAGATGACCATAGACCATGGGTATGCCCCTTCCTTGACCCAGGCTGAGAGCTCAGAGAGTACGCGTCATTGTGCCCTTCTTGTGCAGAGGAGGAAACCAAGGCACTGGGGTGGGGACCCGCAAGCTCAATTACACCGTGTTCTGTGTAATTGCTGAGCCTGGCCAGTGCCTGCAGGGAAGTGATCCATTTTCCCATGTCCTTCCCTGAAGCCTCAGGGTCACCTGTGAGTCAGAAACTGTCCTGTGAACTTTTTTCACTTAAAGACACATTCCTCTTTACCCCAGTGGTCTGAGGCCTTGGGAATCCCATTGTTATTAATAGTGTTTATTAATAGTATTTTTAGACAGGGTCTCCCTATATTGCCTAGGCTGACCTTGAACTCCTTAGGTTCGAGTGATTCTCTAGCCTCGGCCTCCTGAGCAGCTAGGACTAGAGGTGTGCACCACCACACCTGGCTAGAAACCTCATTCTTCTTCTTCCCCTCGCCCCCTTTTGTACCAGGGATGGAACTCAGGGGCACTTAATCACTGAGCCACATCCCCAGGCCCTTTAGTTATTTTGAGACAGGGTCTTGTTTGCTAAGTTGCTTGAGGTCTCACTAAGTTGTTGAGGCTGTCCTTGACCTTTCGAACCTCCTGCTCCAGTCTCCCAAGTGGCTGAGACTATAGGCCTGCACCATTGTGCCTGACTAGATATCTCTCTCTTAATAGCTACTTATTATGCCAAATGCCAGCATCTGTTAGTCCCTCCCCTACTGAATAGTCAGATTGGGGTAAATGTCTTTGTGCTTAGAGTTTTTTTTTTTAATTATATATTTTATGGTGCTGGGGGTCAAACCCAGAGGCTTATGCATGCCAGGTGAGCACTCTATCATTGAGCACCCCCACCCCAAGCCTGTTTTTTTTGTTTGTTTGTTTGTTTTTGGTTTTTTGAGCTGGGGTCTCTCTATGTTGCCCAGGCCGGCCTGAAACTCCTGAGCTCAAAGGATCCTCCCACCTCAGCTTCCTAAGTAGGTGGGACTGTAGGCATGTGCCATCACACCTGGCAGAGTTTCTCTTTTGAACAACATCTTTGAGGGTGATCCCAGGAGTCGATTATTTAGGCCAAAGAGACTGTGTATTTTTATCACCAAATTTTTCTCTGAGCGCTCTGAAGAAGCTAGTTCAGTCATATTTTCTGAGAAGCCACACCCTCACTGAGAGCTAATGATTTGTTTACTGCCCCCTTAGCTGGTATAAATTTTACAGATCATTTTTATTGGC